TCCAGCTCCGCGAGCGGTTCGAGACGGACTTTCCTGTCCTGCGTCTGCACTCTGACAGAGGTGGGGAGTTTGCCTCTGACTTTCTGCGGGACTTTTGTCGTGGGGAGGGCATTCGCCAGACGTTCACGCTCCCGGCCTCACCGCTGTAGAATGGGATTGCTGAGCGCCGCATTGGCTTAGTCATGGAGGTCGCTCGTACCTCCATGGTCCATGCGGCTGCCCCCCATTTTCTGTGGCCGTTTGCGGTCCGATACGCTGCGCATCAGCTCAACCTCTGGCCCCGTGTCTCCTTGCCGGAGACCTCGCCCACACTGCGTTGGACGGGGAAGGTTGGCGGTGCGTCAGTGTTTCGGGTCTGGGGTTCTCGTGCCTTTGTCCGCGATACGTCCGCGGACAAGCTCTCTGCCCGTGCTATTCCCTGCGTCTTCCTTGGCTTTGTCCCTGACGCGCCTGGCTGGCAGTTTTACCACCCCACCTCGCGCCGTGTCCTCCCCTCTCAGGACGTCACGTTCGACGAGTCGGTTCCTTTTTACCGTCTCTTCCCCTACCGCACTGCTTCTCTCCACCCCCCGCCGCTCTTCCTTGCACCAGGTCCTCCTCCGGTAGACCCCCTCCCCCCTCAGGGTCCTGCTCCCTCAGGTGTGTCCCAGGTAGACGCTGTCGAGCCTGTCGAGGTAGCGGTTGACTCTGGTGCTGCTACTGGGGGTGGTGCTGCTGGGGGTGCTGAGCCTGAGCGTGCGGAGCCTGGGGGTGCTGAGCCTGCACGTGTGGAGCCTGGGGGTGCTGAGCCTGAGCGTGTGGAACCTGGGGTTGCTGAGCCTGGGGTTGCTGAGTCTGAGGGTGCGGAGCCTGGGGGTGCTGAGTCTGGGGGTGCTGAGCCTGGAGGTGCTGAGCCTGGGGGTGCTGAGCCTGCGGTTGCTGAGACTGGGGGTGCTGAGTCTGCTGGAGTTCCTGCAGGTGCCTCGTCTCGGCGGGTGCCTCTCTCTCCACCGGAGCTGTGGTTTGCTCGTCACTGGAGACTCCAGCGAGGTGCTGCTGGAGCTGGAGCTGCTGGAGGTACTGCTGGTGCTGGAGCGGCTGGAGGAGCTGGAGCCGCTGGTCCTGGAGGTGCTCGTACTGGAGGTACTGGAGCTGCTGGGGCTGGTGGTGCTGCAGGAGTTGGAGCTGGAGCTGCTGGAGCTGCTGGAGGTACTGCTGGTGCTGGAGCTGCTGGAGGTGCTGCAGCCGCTGGTCCTGGAGGTGCTCGTCCTGGAGGTACTGGAGCTGCTGGGGCTGGTGGTGCTGCAGGAGTTGGAGCTGGAGGTGCTGGAGCAGTTGCTGTTGTAGGTGCTGCTGGAGTTGGAGCTGCTGGTGGTATTGTCTCTGCTGTTTCTGGTGGCGCTGCGCGGCCGCGGCCGTACTACGTTCCGCTCCTTCAGCAGGTTCTTCGCCTCCTGCTTTCTACTGGTCCTCCTCCTCCCTTCCTGAGTCCACAGCCTGACCAGTCGCAGTCACAGTTACAGCCAGCCTCTCCACTGCCTGGTCCTTCTCCTTACTCTGGGCCGACTAGGGGTCTTACGGAGCGTCGTGAGCCAGAGTCTCGTCCTGCGTCACCTGAGTCTCGTCCTGCGTCGCCTGTTCGCGCTGTCCGCACTGGTCGTCGTGTTCCGCGTCAGCGTCCTCCCCCTGTCCCTGGCACACACCTGATGGCACTTCGTCCTTCCACTGCTCCGCAGCGTGTCCCTCCTGCGTCCTCTCTTCCTGACGGTCCGGACCCCGGAGTCTGACTCCATTCGTGCTGCTAGTCCTACTGTCACGCGTTTCCTGGCCACTGTTGTCACTGACCCTTCGTTTGAGTCCACTGCTGCATCTGCTCTAGTTGCCGAGCTTGTTGACTTTGCTGCCGCCTGTCGACTAGACTACGCCGCTAGTCTTGTTGCTGAGTCTGAGTTTGTCTGTCCTCCGTTCGTCGAGGGTGAGTGTGCCCTTAGCACGGACGTGATTGAGGACAGACAGGAGGAGTTTGAGTGCTTTGCTGCTGCTTTACCTCATCTCGTGTCCATGCTGCTTGCACCCGAGGGAGACCCGGATGCTCCAGACATCCCGACCCCGCGCTCTTACGCAGAGGCGATAGAGGGTCCCTACTCCTCTCAGTGGCAGACAGCCATGGACGCAGAGATGGCTTCCTGGAAGTCCACAGGCACCTACGTCGACGAGGTTCCCCCGCCTGGGGCGAACATTGTCAGTGGCATGTGGATTTTCAGGGTGAAGCGGCCGCCGGGTTCTCCGCCTGTCTTCAAGGCGCGTTACGTTGCACGAGGCTTCAGTCAGCGAGAGGGAGTTGACTTCTTCCAGACCTTCTCCCCTACCCCGAAGATGACCACTCTTCGGGTTCTGCTGCACGTCGCCGCTCAGCGTGACTACGAGCTTCACTCTCTTGACTTCAGCACTGCTTTCCTACAGGGCAGCCTGCACGAGGAGATCTGGCTGCGCCGCCCACCTGGCTTCACTGGGCCGTTTCCTGCTGGTACCCAGTGGAGCCTCCGGCGGCCAGTCTACGGTCTCCGCCAGGCGCCCCGTGAGTGGCACGACACACTGAGGACGACTCTTGCGGCCCTTGGGTTTGCTCCTTCCACTGCTGACCCGTCGTTGTTTCTACGCACTAACACCTCTCTGCCGCCATTCTTCGTTCTCGTGTACGTCGACGACTTGGTCTTAGCTACTGCTGACACTGAGGGACTCGCCCACGTGAAGTCGGAGCTGCAGAAGAGACACACGTGTACAGACCTGGGTGAGCTGAGCAGCTATCTTGGCTTGCGGATCACCCGGGACAGAGCACAGCGCACCATTACCTTGACTCAGTCACACATGGTGCAGCAGGTCCTTCAGCGCTTCGGCTTCACGTACTCCTCGCCACAGCACACTCCTCTGCCTACTCGCCACTCGCTCTCAGCTCCACTTTCAGACTAGTCCGTAGAGCCGAGTGGTCCGTACCCAAAGCTTGTGGGCTACCTCATGTACCTGATGACCTGCACTCGACCTGACCTTGCCTACCCTCTTAGCATTCTGGCACGCTATGTCGCTCCTGGGAGAAACAGGAAGGAGCACATAGATGCCGCTAAGAGGGTGTTGCGCTACTTGTGCAATTCGTCGGGCATGGGGCTCGTGCTTGGAGGACGGGCTCGAGTTGTCCTCACTGGTCATGCAGACGCTTCCTGGGCTGACGACTTGGCTACGCAGCGGTCGTCACAGGGTTACACCTTCAGTCTTGGCTCCGGCTCTGTTTCTTGGCGGTCTACCCGCTCGTCTTCTGTTCTCAGCTCCAGTTGTGAGGCTGAGATCTACGCAGGGGCCATGGCTGCACAGGAGTTACGCTGGCTCACCTACCTGCTGACCGACCTGGGAGAGCCGCCTCGTTCTCCTCCAGTGCTGTACGTCGACAACAAGGCCATGATTGCCTTGTGTCAGGAGCACAGACTGGAGCACAGAACGAAGCACATTGCTCTGCGCTACTTCCTTGCTCGAGAGTTGCAGCAGCGTGGTCAGCTTCGTCTTGCTTACTTGGCCACTCGGGCCAACACTGCTGATGTCTTGTGATCATCAGCGTTTCTGTACTGTTCTAGGCCTTGTGCCTACTGTGCCTCACTTGCTTACTTCTTGACTTTGCTTGTACTGTGATCTCTATACATATACATGCATGCTTACACTTGCTAGGTTGTGATCACTGTATTGCTTGTTCTCCTTTATATAACTCTGCATGTGAACTGGCCTTGTGGTCATTTGCTTGTTCTCAGAATGCGTGGTGACGTCGTGATCCACCCTGAGCTTGTTTTGCCTTTCTTGACTGGTCTTCTGACCTCTTGTTTTCCCCCACTTTGCCTATGTGGGTGTGTCAAACTTATATGTTATGGTCTGTGTAGGCTGTAGTGGGGTAGTTCATATGGGGTACAACACTTTAGGGTTTCCTACTTGTACTCCTCATGCTGCTCAATGCAATCATTCCTCGTTCTATCTTTCACATAGTTTGGAGAATTATATGTTAATATAGTATTGCATCGGAAATAATGATTTCATACGATGGTGCAATGAGAATAAATGAAGATATAATAAAATATATAGTCATAGGAAGTACCTATTGATTATGTACGTGTACGCTCAATGCGCCTTTATTGAGTCGTTACCTCTAAGAGTCACTTATACTATAGCATTACGAGCCTATTCGCGCTCCAAACGGGCACTTTAATACGATAATACTATTCTATGAAATTACGATAAAAGTATCGAACTGTTGAAGTGCAACCAAGTAATTTATTTATCACAACACAGTATAAATGGTCGAAGAATTCGACGGAATTCACTACAGCCAATAAAAAAAAAAACTATGTCTTACACTCGCGGTTTAGTCGTGTTTGTGACTTCGGCCTTAATATTCAGGTTTTATGCGTCATGGTCAATTGTAACGCCTAAAACGAAGACATGTCAAGACAGAGATGTACACTGACTAATATCAAGTTCAAATATTACTTGGAGAGTTTTGTACAAATCAGAAAACACTTCTTCTGCTAGACTTCCACGACCAATCTAGACGATGCTGTAAAGGACATATGATTGTATTAGGATAAGGATGCGCAACATTGTTTTTTTTTTTTTTTATGTTTTGTTAAAAAATATAAAAAACCATTGGATGCGAATGCACATACGGAAACTTTCCCTAGATGTGTTTTGTTGGTGAAATTGGGTGAGTTGAAATTGGTTGGGTATATGAGTAATATAAGGCTGAAATGTGCACATTTGTATGTCTGTTCTATGTTGCGAGAAATCTGGACATCAACGTAACTTACTTCGCCTGAAAAATAACCGCTCGAGCCTCGTTACCCGGTTACTTTCTCAACAAAAAGCCGGTAGAATTTTAGTTGGAAACGTTTGAAACTCATATGTAGGTAGAACTTTTGTGCTCGATTTCATACGGTTCTGCCTAAGGTGACGTGTCGTTGGTTTTAGAAATCTTCTAGTAAAACGTAATGGGTGCAGCTGTTTTCCGAAGTGTTCAACAGTCAACTCAACTTCTTCTCTCCCTTCCTCCAGACGGTTTTGCTGTTCCCCAGCAGTGCCGTTTCTTCGCTACACCACGTCGAGACAAGCCAACCCACCGGGGAGGTGTTTCTCGGGGCGAGGCTCTCTTGCCAGTGGTGGCTCCCCCCAAGTCCCGACGCATGGACACACCTCGTCACTGCGCCGACAACAACCAACCCTTGTCACACCATGAGACTGTACATATCTGAGAAACCTTCTGCGCCTTGCCTTGTTTTTCTGCTGCCCAAACACTGCAGACAGAAACCGTAAACACAAGGAGCTTGCTGATTAGTGTAGTGTTTTTCCGAGGGAATCACTTCAGGGAAGCCAGGTGGCGGTGTACTTTGTTCGTTAAATGGACAGCAGCAACCTGTACGCGTGAAAGTTGTGAAGCAAAAGTGCGAACAAAGTGGCAGCTACGAAGGAAGCGCAGTGAATAGAACAGAAGGGGTTCTTGCAACTGACGAAAGGGCCTCGAAAGTCTGATCGTCAGGATCTTGGGGGTATATTATGTTTCAGGGATAATTGTTCTGAACAAAACGGCAGCGTTCAGCAGCCTTGAGAATAAAAAGCGCAAAACGCCTGCCTGCAATTAAACCCTCCTCATCTTTACCTTACACCTTCTCGCTTGGTCAAAGACCGCGTTCTGCTCCAACGACCACCACCAAGCACCACCAATCTACACTACACGTATGAACTTGCTGCCCCACAGATTTCCCAGTTTTTGCTTCCGCAGGGAAGCCTTGTCCAAGCCACCAACCCTGCCACTGTTTCTCTGCATGCCCTTTCCCTCACCAACTTCCGATTGCGTTCTGTTCCTTCCGTTCTGTGTTTGCTGCTCTTGCTGCCCCTCTGACATGGCATCCAAGCAACCTGCAACCCTTCCTCGTCCCCTCATCGCAATCTGTAGGACCTGTCAGCTTCCCTCCTAACCAATCTTACCTCCCAACACCAGCAGCCGAACAACCCTGATCCGTCGTCAACGCCAACACAACCCTACCCCTACATACCCGTCCGCGCCGCTAGTAGTATTCCACCTGGCCGCCATGCACGTGCCTATACTCTACCCCTCCCTGTGCCCCAAACCCATTGCGGCGCCGCCCGTCCATCAAAAGTGACACGTGGATCTCTCAGTGCTCCTAGCCCTACTAGCTCTCTCGCTTCAGGTGCGTCTCTCGCTCCCACCTTTCGTCGCTGCACAATAGTAGGCGGGTCGGCGCAGGGCAGGATTCGTTCTTAGGATACCGTGCAGGAGCGTACTCGATATACGCTTAGCGTCGCAACGTGTTTCAACCGCCCGTGTTACGAGGAAAGGAACGGAAGGCAAGGTAGGGGAACGGTAACTGGTGTGCGTTTCGGGCGACGCCCGCACGGGACGGCAATGGGGCAGCAAAAGGGACAGCAGTGGGACGGCAATGAGACGGCAACGGTATGGCATTGGGACGGCGATTAGTCGTGAGGCCCTGCCAGAAGCCATAGTAGGAGTCGCACTCGCACCGCCCTACTCCGTCGGTGAATACTGCTACCGTGCACGACACAGCACCGCTTGCTCTCGCGACCTTCGTACCGGTGACCGATTCTACGGCGGAAAAGAATGGGTTTGTAAGGATGGCAGCGGTTGCCGGGTGGATTGGACGGCAGCAGCGAAGACACAACCATCTGGAAACCCGTTGCCGTCGAAATCTCTCTAGATTCGATATTCCGCTGTCAGTCCCGGCCGGCACATCATGGGCCGCCCGTCCCGCTCACGCCCCACCGTCAACTCCACGATAGATTCCCGCCTTATCCCGCAGTGTCATTAAGAACTCACCGCGTGTCACGGCAGTACCGCGCTGCGACAACTGACCGATATCCGCTGCGACCCGATGGTGCTCTCTCACGCTTGACTTTGCAATTTCGTGCTCTTTTCTTTCTTTCCTCCCATTCCCGCGTCTCTCACTCAATCCACCAGGTTAAATAGATCGCTAGTTCGTTCGCTTGATTTCCGCCGTCGGATCTGACAACACTGCTCACCGTCGATTTAATTTCGCCGTCAACACTTTCCCTCTCGCCGCGCCACTGCCAACGACGTTTCTGCTCATCATGGCGCTCCGTTCTCCGGCGCCCTCCCCGCATCCTCCCTTAGCCGTCCTCCCCCTCGCACTCTTCCTCGTCCTCGCCTGCACCCTCCGCTGCGCCTCCGCGCAGCCCGTCGCCAGCTCTCAGCGTGAGTTCGCCACCCGCGGCGCTGCGCCTTCCGCCCCCGCTCGCGCGATTCGCACCTTTCGTCCGCTTGCCGCACCTCGCGCTTCGCCTCCCACCACTCGTTTTCGCTACCGCGCTCGCCGTACGAGCACCATGCCGTCACATCTGTCGGAGTGGTTCGCTTGTCGACTAGGAACATCGCCATCGCTCCGTGCCGTCCGCTCTCCTCTCCCCGCGCCTCGGTTTCAGCTCTTGCTGCTCGCACAACGCGCTCCGCTCCCTGCCCTTCTCACTCCCCTTCCTTCCCCTATTCTCCCACCCCCTCGCCCGCTCCCCCTCCCCGCAGTGACCGCGCTGACCGCGATAGCGGCGGCGTGGGGGCGCAACCTGACGGCGGTGAACCAGACGTGGGTGGCGGGGAAGGAGTGCAGCACGTGGTTCGGCCTCTCGTGCAACGCCATGGGCCAGGTCACCAGCTTGTGAGCGCCGCCATCCTCTCCCCGCCATCTGCTTCCCTCCGACTCCGCCCCGCCCCGCCCCGCCCCGCCTCGCCCCGCCTCGCCCCGCTTCGCCCCGTTTCGCCCCGCCTTGCCTCGCCTTGCTGCGGCGCGGCGCGGATATCGTTGCAGTGTGGTTCTTCGCTTGCCTCGAGTCGTCGTGTTTCGTGTCGTCTCTTTCAGTCGCAAGAACATCATGCGACGAGAGCGCGATGTCGCCGCTGCTGTCGTCGCTGCTGTCGTCGCTGCTGTCGTCGCTGCTGTCGTCGCTGCTGTCGCCGCTGCTGTCGTCGCTGCTGTCGTCGCTGCTGTCGTCGCTGCTGTCGTCGCTGCTGTCGTCGCTGCTGTCGTCGCTGCTGTCGTCGCTGCTGTCGTCGCTGCTGTCGTCGCTGCTGTCGTCGCTGCTGTCGTCGCTGCTGTCGTCGCTGCTGTCGTCGCTGCTGTCGTCGCTGCGTTCCTCACCCTCTCCTGTTTTTTCCCCACGCCCCTCGCTCCCCCTTCTGCTCTCTGCGGCCTGTGTGCGTGTGCGTGTGCGTGTGTGTGTGTGCGCGTACGTGTATGTGTGTGCGCGCATGGCGGCACGGCAGGGTGATCACGGGGCAGCGCAACCTGGGCGGGCAATCCATCCCCGCGGCCGTCACACAGCTGCAGGCGCTGCAGACACTGTCAGTCCTCCTCACGCCCCCCCCTCTCTCCCCTCGCCCTCCCCCGCCTCGCCCTCTCCCTCGCCCTCCCCACCCCTTCGCCCTCTCGCTGCTGCGCTTGCCTCCGCCCGTGCCTCCTTCCACCCCCCCGCCCCGCACTCCTCGCTATCAACACCCGCTCTGAAGCTTGTCCCCGCGCCGTCGCGTGCGCTTCTCGAGCGACGCGCGCTCTGCCTTCACCCTTGCCGCATCGCATCCCATGTGGGCTGGATGGAACGGCTTCACTTGGGTATAAACATGCCGTGCCATGGCCCGCACATCCCCATCATCCACCCCTGCCACAACACATCCCCGTCTCTCCTCTCCTCATCCCGCCCTCTCCCTGCACCCCGTCTCCCCGCGCTCTCCTCCCCGTTTCCCCCGTGTGTCCGCCGTGTGCGCCCCACAGCGCGTTGGATCACAACCTGCTCACAGGGCCCATCCCCGACGACATCTCCTTCCTCACCGCCCTCACCAACGTGTACGCTTCTGCCGCCTCCATGCCGCCGTGTCTCCATGCCGCCGTGTCTCCATGCCGCCGTGTCGCCATGCCGCCTTGTCGTCGCGTCTTGCTGCATCGCGCTCCGACTTGCCGCGGCGCGCTGCTGCGTCGGCGCGCAGTCACGCGAGACGGAGGCGCTCTGAGTGCACTCCATGCTCACGCGGCAGTCACCGTCGCCGTCCCTCGCGCCCATGCCACACAGCACACACATGCCCTCGTCGCACCTCGCTCACCTCACTTCCTCCGGCCCTCGTTGCACGAGCCGGACTTGCATCTTATTGATCTTTCCGCCTCGCCTCGCCTCGCCTCGCCTTGCCTCGCCTCGCCTTGCCTCGCACCTCGCCTTGCCTCGCACCTCGCCTTGCCTCGCACCTCGCCTCCTTGTGCCGCACTGGCCCTTGCAAGTGCGCCTCGCCTCTCCCCTTCCACGCTCCTCCCCCCTCTAACTGTCTCTCCTGCCTACTGCGCCGCTCCCTGCCTTGTGTCCCCCGCCTCCTGGTCCCGCATGTCCCCCGCCCCCCTCTCACAGGTCGCTGAGTGGCAATCAGCTCAACGGCTCCATCCCCATGGGCATCAGTCGCCTCGTCAACCTCCGATTCCTGTACGCCTCGCATCGCCTCGCCTCGCATCGCCTTGCCTCGCCTCGCATCGCCTTGCCTCGCCTCGCCCCTCGCCCTTCGCCTTGACTCTCCGCTCCCGTCAGCTGCTCTGCACTGCTCGCTCCAATGCCGCTCTCTCCCCCCTTCACGCCAAGCCCTTCTCTTCTTCGCCAGTCCTTCCCCCCATTCCCCCCGCCCTCCCCGCCTCGCGCGTTTTGCCATGCTACTATGCGCCCTTCTTCGGGCCTCCTTGCCGTGCATGCCTAGACTAATATGCCTCCCCTTCGTGCCTCTGTGCCTATTTTTGTCTGTGCTCTCCTGCGCAATTGTTCTGTGTGTGTGTGTCTGTGTGCGTGCATGCGAGCATCATCACAGGGACCTCACGGCCAATGCGCTCACGGGCGCCGTGCCAGACGCCTTCACTGCCATGCCCAGCCTCGCAACCTTGTACGCCCTGCCCTCCCCCTCCCTCGCCCTGCCCCCTGCTCTCATCTTCCCCCTCTCTTGGTTCCCGGCGCGCACCTACCCTAGCACGTGCTGCTGTCGCCAGCAGCTAGCGTGCACAAACCCTTCCATTGGCGCCACCGCGTGCCATCAATCGCATCACATCGCATCACATTACATGGCACAGCGAACAATTGTCCGCGCCTTGCCACTGCCATACCTCCCTACCTGAATGTAGCGCCCTCTTCTTATCGCCCCATACACCATGCGCCCTCTCCTCCCTTTCCCCCTTCTCCTCTCCCCCTCTCCCTCGCTTCTCCTCCCTTCTCCCCCCCCCCCCCCAACCCCCTCCCCCACCGTGCCCCCCACCAGTGCGGTGGCGCTCAACTCGCTCAACGGCTCTCTACCAAGCTCCCTCTTCTCGCTCTCCAACCTGCAGCTCCTGTGAGCCGCTCTCTCCGCGCTCTCCCCGCGCTCTCTCCGCGCTCTCCCCGTGCTCTGCTCCGCTCCTCCTCCCCGCCTTTCCTCTCCCACTTATCTGCGCAGCTGATTTTCGCCAGCGCCCTCGTCCCCTCTCCACTGCGCGCGAGCTTGCCTTGCACCATTCCCTCCCTCCCTGCCATGCCACCTCTCTCCTCCCATCCCTCCCCACTTGCTGTCGCCTCATTTCCCCCTCCAATGTCGCCTCATTTGCTCCTCCAATGTCCCCACCCAGCCCTCCTCAACCTCTCATCTCGCTTCCTAGACACTCAAACCCCTCTCTCCCCCCCTGTTGTCCGCCCGTCACTGCCGTGTGTTCCGTGTGTGTGTCCCCATGGCAGCATGCTGGGGCGCAACCAGCTGACGGGAGTGCTGCCAGCGTCCGTCGGTGGGCTCAAGGCGCTCAAAGCACTGTGCGTTCCGCTCCGCCCTCTACCCTCTAGATTCTCGCCTCTCGCCTCTCGCCTCTCGCCTCTCGCCTCTCGCCTCTAGGCTCTGCCCTGTGGCGCATGGGGCGTGGAGTGCTAGCCAAGGCTGTGGGCTTTGGAGTGTGAGAGGTTTGGCTGTTGGGTGGGTGTGGGTATGCAGTGGGTCATGGGGCATGGAAGCGGGTTGGCTGGATGGAGTGCCACTACTTCATCCCCCCCTCCCTTTCTCCTCCGTGCATCTTCCTCTTATCTCGTCCCTTCCCTTCCTCTCTCTCTCTTCTTCTCTACCCTTTCTCTCTATAGCAACTCACCGCAGTTTGCTTGTTCCCATGCGTGTTCTTGTGTGTGTGCTTGCGTGCGCGTGCGTGTGTATATGTGTGTGCATGTGCGCCTGTCACAGGGATCTGAGCAACAACCGCTTCTACGGAGCCATGCCTGCAGCGCTCGGCACTCTCTCCAACATCGTTCACCTGTACGCCTGCCCTCCGCCCTCCCCTCTCCGCCCTCCCCTCTCCGCCCTCCCCTCCCCTCTCCCCTCTCTCTTCGCCACTCTCGCCTCAGCACGCCTGCTGCACCCCTCACCCAAGCTAGTTGAGCCTGCCAATCTCCATCCTCCCTCACTCCCCCACATCTCCTACATTCCATCGTGGTCATCCCACATCTCTCCCCACTCGCTCCCTTTCCTCATTCCCCCCTTCCTAACTTCCCTCCCTTCTCTCCCCCACTCTCCCCCACTCCCCCCCACTCCCCGCCTCTCCCCTCTTCCCCCCCCTTCACTCCCCCTCTCCCACCGTCTACCCCCCGTTCCCCCCCCCCCCAACCCCCCCCAGCGACCTAAGCCGCAACGCCTTCACAGGCACGCCACTAAGCTCCTTCGCCTCGCAGTCCCTCGCATCCTCCTCGCAAGCCGTCTACGACCTCAGCTCCAACTACTTCACCACGCTCCCCTCCTCCTTCTCCGCCAAATCCTCCCCCTTCTGCCCCTCCGACCTCTCTGGCGGCTTTTCCTCCGCCAATCTCCTGCCCTTCGGCGCTACAGCCACCAGCAGCCTGAGCGATAACTGCTTCCTGGCCGGCGACTGGAACTACTCCCAAAGCTACGTCCACCGCGGCAGGCGGTGGGGAAGCGGGGGCGGCAGCGGCGGGAGCAGCAGCAGCGGCAGTAGCAGTGACGGCGGCGGTGGCAGCGGGGGCAGCAGCAGCAGCGGCACGAGCAGCAGTGAAGGGGGGTGCGCGCCGGGCGGGGATCAGAAGCGGCCTGTGGAGTGTGTTTCCTTCTGCGGTGCTGCTCTGGCAGCGGGGCCGTGCGGGGGCCTGGGGATGTGTGTGCTGGACGGGCCCTCATACGTGCCGGCGTGTGTGTGCAACAACGGCATGTACAACGTGCTGCTCTCTGTTACCGTTGGCTCTTCCACTGTCACCTACCCCTCCTGCTCGCCCAACCCGGGCACGCCCCCTCCTCGTAAGCATCCACTGCCCCGCCCCGCCCCGCCCTGTCTTGACTTGCCCCGCCCCGCCCTGCCTCGCCCCACCCCGCCCCGCCCTGTGCCGTCCCGCTGCGCCCTGCCTTGCCCTGCCTACAGCCTGCATTCACCCTTGCCTGCCTCCCGCCTGTCTCCCCTTCCTGTCCCCCCTTCCCCAATTCCTCCTCTTTCTCTCGCTTTGCATCCTTTCGCTGTCCACGTGGCCTTTCAGCCTCAGCCCCTCCCACATGCCGTCTCTCTCCGTCGCGGCACTCCCACTTGCTCTCACAGTAGTCTTTGCAATCACCTAACCTGCTCGCTCGTTTCCCCCTTTTCCCTCTCTGCTTTTCTCCCCTCTTCCACCTACCTGCCCCCCCCCCCCTGTGACCACTTTCAGCCGCACCCCCGCCCATTGACAGCACGGAGCGTCGCAAGAGAGGTAAGCATCATCACGATTCACCGTCCTACATTCACCGTCCTACATTCACCGTGCCCCGTGCTTGCATTGCATCCCCGCATGCCCCTACCCTGCTGCTGCGTCATGCTCATCCAACCCCTCCCAACCCCCTCACCTCCTCGCCCTACCCCTCCTCCCCTCTCCTCCCTCATCCCCATCCATCTTCCTCCCCCATCCTCTCCTTCCTTCCACAGGGTTCCGTGGAGTGGTGTTCACGGGCACAACACCAGCGCTGCCATCAGGCACCTATTCCAACAAGTACTTCCGGCATCTGTCCAACGGCTTCACAGGCAACTACTCCTCGCCCACGTGGAACCTCACCAACTCCGTGGACTGGCGCGCTGTGCTGCCCGCGCCGCTGCTGCCCGCCAAGGACCAAGGCCTCTGCTGTCAGTGCTTCCTCCTTTCCCCGCTCGCCCGCTCGCCCCCCCCCCCTCCATCCACCCACCCTCACACCTCCCCTCTGCTTGCCTGCTGTTTTGCTGTAATCTGTCCCCACCTGTCTTTCTCGCACACGCACGCGCACACGAAAACACAGGCCTTCACAGCCACACTGCTCCACGCTCTCCCAACCCTACCGCACCAACACCACCCTCCCTTTCCCCCTCCCACCCCGCCCCTTCCCCTCACCAGCGTCCTGCTGGGCATTCGCGCCAGTGGCAGCGACAGAAGCTTTATACGCGATACTGTACAGGGCAGCGGCGCCCAACGTGTCTTTTAAGACGTCCATCCCCTCCGCCCTCCACACCCTACCCTCCCCTCCCCTCCCACCCCGCCCCTTCCCCTCACCAGCGTCCTGCTGGGCGTTCGCGCCAGTGGCGGCAACAGAGGCCCTGTACGCGATAACGTACGGGGCAGCAGCGCCCAACGTGTCGGAGCAGCGCGTGGTGGACTGCCAGGGCCAGTGGAGCTGCGCGGGGGGCTACCCTGCCCACGCCTTCAACTACATCGCGTCCAGTGGCGGCCTGCCGCTCGCTGTCAACTACCCCTACACTGGCATCTACTCGCCCTCCTGCCGGGTACGTGCATGCGTGCGCTGGGGGGAGGGGGAGGGGGAAGATTAGGGGGAGTTGACTGAGTACTGGGGGGGGGGGGGGGGTGGTTGATGGGGTCTTCGCTCTGGTGGTAGCTCGCTGTGCTGGTTCGCGCTCTCGCTTTGGGGTTGGGAATCGACGTTGCCTCTTTTGCTCCACGCTGCCTGTGAGCCAGACGGTCCGCCGCACCGCCAAGCGCAACGTGCGCTTCCTCCTCAGCGACCCTCCGCAGCCCACAACAACATTAACATCATCATCATCAGCAGCAGCAGCAGCAGCAGCAGCAGCGGCGGAGGAGGAGGAGCCATCGCAGCGTGCCGCGCGCGGGCTGCTGGCGGCGCCGCGGGCGCGGGCGCTCTTCTCGCTGGCGCAGCTGGTGACGGGGCCGTTCGGCATCGCGTCGTACGAGCAGGTGTCAACTCCCGGGTGGATGGGCATGGCGCTGGCGGTGCAGCAGCAGCCCGTGGTGGCGTATGTGGAGGCGGACCAGGAGTCATTCGTCTCGTACCCCGGGGTGAGTGAGTGGGTCAACGCTGCATGTCAGGTGCTGCTTTAGCGGCGCCTCAAAAGCAGGCGATCGTGCCCGGGTGGATGGGCATGGCGTCTCCAGGGCTTCACCCTTAACGTACAATGAACGACCCGGCGTGCTTCCTCAACCAGGTTGTGAACCACGCGCTCGTCATGCTGGGTTATGAGTCTATGACCTTCTGGCACCACCGTTTGTCGAGTCCACTCATAACTTCCCCCACCCATTTCCCCCTCTCTCTCTCCCCCCTCTTTCCCTCATCTCTCCCGTCCACCCTCTCATCCCCATCCCATACCGCCCCTATCCTTCCCCCCTCCAGGGCTTCACGTACAACGACCCGGCGTGTTTTGCCAACCAGGTGGTGAATCACGCGGTGGTCGTTGTGGGCTACGACCTGCTGGCCGCGCCGCCGCTGTGGCTCGTGCGCAACTCGTGGGGCGCGGGGTGGGGCGACCAGGGCTACATGCAGCTGGCGATTGCAGGGGGCAGTGGTGTGTGCGGCCTCAACACCATGCCCGCCATCTACCCCACCATTCTCGGTCAGTGCTGCCCCCCTGCCCCCCTGCCATGCCTCGCCACACTGCCTCTGCCTGTCTGCATGCCTCCCTGCTGTTGTTCCTGCCTGCCTGCTTGCCTGCTCGTTGCGACTGCTGGTGGTGGCCATTTGGTCCCAACCGCCCCTCTTCCCTCCTCCCTCCTCCCCTTCCCCCCTCCCACCCATCATCCCACCCTTCCTATGCAACAACAGGGCCGGACCCATGCGGGCCCATCAACCCGTGTGGGGGCGGCACGTGCAAGGCGACGGTGGGGGCGATTAGCAAGAAGCAGGTGAACACGTGCACGTGCCCCGACAACTTCATCCCTGTTACCAACATCGACAAGACTCAGACCTGCGCTCCTGGTGCGTGCCCCCCCTCTGTCCTTTCCACCAAACCCTCCCCACCCCCCCCTCCCCCCTTCTCTCTGCCTGACCTGCCGGAAGTGTGTCTGGGTGTAGTCCTGCTCTGCCTCGTCCTCCTATGCTTACCCTGCCCTACCCACCCACCCCCATCCTCCACCCTCGGTCCCTCCCCCACGGCCCCTCCCTCACCCCTCTTCCCATTCGTGCCTCCCCCTCCCGCCACCCCCCGCTGTCGCCCGTCCCCTCCCCCTCTCCACCTTTCCCTTCTCGCAGCCAAGGTGTGTGCATTCTATGCAATGAACCCGTGTGGGTTTGGCACGTGTGTGGACAACAACGCGGGCGGGTACTCGTGCCTGTGCTCCACGGGATTCACACAGGGCATGCGCACCGATGCCACCATCACCTGCGTCCCCGGTAGGCTGCCTTGCCTCACTCACACGCACACACGCACCCCCTCCTCTCACTCTCCTCCCTCTACCCTTCTCCCACCCACTCGTCACTCTTTCCATTCTCCCATCCCTTCTCCCCTCCTCTCCTTGCTGCATCACACCCGAGTCACGCACACACGAAACGCTCTTCATTAAAATCGTCCTGCCCCCGTCGCTCCCCTCACACTCCCGCCTACAAGCACCAACTCTCTCCATCCCCTGCTCCCCTGCTCCCGTGCCTGCTCCCCCATCCTGTCCCCGTGTGTGCGCCCACAGCCACCAAGGCCACCAACACGGTGTCACTGCCCGCGCCCATGACGTGCGACCAAGTGCGCTCCACCTACTCGCTCTCCATGTCCGCCTTCCGCCTCCTCAACCCCGTGAGCGCCTCCTCAACCCCGTGAGTGCCTCCTCAACCCCGTGAGCGCCTCCTCAACCCCGTGAGCGCCTCCTCAACCCCGTGAGCGCCTCCTCAACCCCGTGAGCGCCTCCTCAACCCCGTGAGCGCCTCCTCAACCCCGTGAGCGCCTCCTCAACCCCGTGAGCGCCTCCTCAACCCCGTGAGCGCCTCCTCAACCCCGTGAGCGCCTCCTCAACCCCGTGAGCGCCTCCTCAACCCCGTGAGCGCCTCCTCAACCCCGTGAGCGCCTCCTCAACCCCGTGAGCGCCTCCTCAACCCCGTGAGCGCCTCCTCAACCCCGTGAGCGCCTCCTCAACCCCGTGAGCGCCTCCTCAACCCCGTGAGCGCCTCCTCAACCCCGTGAGCGCCTCCTCAACCCCGTGAGCGCCTCCTCAACCCCGTGAGCGCCTCCTCAACCCCGTGAGCGCCTCCTCAACCCCGTGAGCGCCTCCTCAACCCCGTGAGCGCCTCCTCAACCCCGTGAGCGCCTCCTCAACCCCGTGAGCGCCTCCCCCTAGCCTCAAACCCCGTGAGCGCCTCCTCAACCCCGTGAGCGCCTCCTCAACCCCGTGAGCGCCTCCTCAACCCCGTGAGCGCCTCCTCAACCCCGTGAGCGCCTCCTCAACCCCGTGAGCGCCTCCTCAACCCCGTGAGCGCCTCCTCAACCCCGTGAGTGCCTCCTCAACCCCGTGAGCGCCTCCTCAACCCCGTGAGCGCCTCCTCAACCCCGTGAGCGCCTCCTCAACCCCGTGAGCGCCTCCTCAACCCCGTGAGCGCCTCCTCAACCCCGTGAGCGCCTCCTCAACCCCGTGAGCGCCTCCTCAACCCCGTGAGCGCCTCCTCAACCCCGTGAGCGCCTCCTCAACCCCGTGAGCGCCTCCTCAACCCCGTGAGCGCCTCCTCAACCCCGTGAGCGCCTCCTCAACCCCGTGAGCGCCTCCTCAACCCCGTGAGCGCCTCCTCAACCCCGTGAGCGCCTCCTCAACCCCGTGAGCGCCTCCTCAACCCCGTGAGTGCCTCCTCAACCCCGTGAGCGCCTCCTCAACCCCGTGAGCGCCTCCTCAACCCCGTGAGCGCCTCCTCAACCCCGTGAGCGCCTCCTCAACCCCGTGAGCGCCTCCTCAACCCCGTGAGCGCCTCCTCAACCCCGTGAGCGCCTCCTCAACCCCGTGAGTGCCTCCTCAACCCCGTGAGCGCCTCCTCAACCCCGTGAGTGCCTCCTCAACCCCGTGAGCGCCTCCTCAACCCCGTGAGCGCCTCCTCAACCCCGTGAGTGCCTCCTCAACCCCGTGAGCGCCTCCTCAACCCCGTGAGCGCCTCCTCAACCCCGTGAGCGCCTCCTCAACCCCGTGAGCGCCTCCTCAACCCCGTGAGTGCCTCCTCAACCCCGTGAGCGCCTCCTCAACCCCGTGAGTGCCTCCTCAACCCCGTGAGCGCCTCCTCAACCCCGTGAGCGCCTCCTCAACCCCGTGAGTGCCTCCTCAACCCCGTGAGCGCCTCCTCAACCCCGTGAGCGCCTCCTCAACCCCGTGAGCGCCTCCTCAACCCCGTGAGCGCCTCCTCAACCCCGTGAGTGCCTCCTCAACCCCGTGAGCGCCTCCTCAACCCCGTGAGCGCCTCCTCAACCCCGTGAGCGCCTCCTCAACCCCGTGAGCGCCTCCTCAACCCCGTGAGCGCCTCCTCAACCCCGTGAGTGCCTCCTCAACCCCGTGAGCGCCTCCTCAACCCCGTGAGTGCCTCCTCAACCCCGTGAGCGCCTCCTCAACCCCGTGAGCGCCTCCTCAACCCCGTGAGTGCCTCCTCAACCCCGTGAGCGCCTCCTCAACCCCGTGAGCGCCTCCTCAACCCCGTGAGCGCCTCCTCAACCCCGTGAGCGCCTCCTCAACCCCGTGAGTGCCTCCTCAACCCCGTGAGCGCCTCCTCAACCCCGTGAGCGCCTCCTCAACCCCGTGAGTGCCTCCTCAACCCCGTGAGCGCCTCCTCAACCCCGTGAGCGCCTCCTCAACCCCGTGAGCGCCTCCTCAACCCCGTGAGCGCCTCCTCAACCCCGTGAGCGCCTCCTCAACCCCGTGAGCGCCTCCTCAACCCCGTGAGCGCCTCCTCAACCCCGTGAGCGCCTCCTCAACCCCGTGAGCGCCTCCTCAACCCCGTGAGCGCCTCCTCAACCCCGTGAGCGCCTCCTCAACCCCGTGAGCGCCTCCTCAACCCCGTGAGCGCCTCCTCAACCCCGTGAGCGCCTCCTCAACCCCGTGAGCGCCTCCTCAACCCCGTGAGTGCCTCCTCAACCCCGTGAGCGCCTCCTCAACCCCGTGAGTGCCTCCTCAACCCCGTGAGCGCCTCCTCAACCCCGTGAGCGCCTCCTCAACCCCGTGAGCGCCTCCTCAACCCCGTGAGCGCCTCCTCAACCCCGTGAGCGCCTCCTCAACCCCGTGAGCGCCTCCTCAACCCCGTGAGCGCCTCCTCAACCCCGTGAGCGCCTCCTCAACCCCGTGAGCGCCTCCTCAACCCCGTGAGCGCCTCCTCAACCCCGTGAGCGCCTCCTCAACCCCGTGAGCGCCTCCTCAACCCCGTGAGCGCCTCCTCAACCCCGTGAGCGCCTCCTCAACCCCGTGAGCGCCTCCTCAACCCCGTGAGCGCCTCCTCAACCCCGTGAGCGCCTCCTCAACCCCGTGAGTGCCTCCTCAACCCCGTGAGCGCCTCCTCAACCCCGTGAGTGCCTCCTCAACCCCGTGAGCGCCTCCTCAACCCCGTGAGCGCCTCCTCAACCCCGTGAGCGCCTCCTCAACCCCGTGAGCGCCTCCTCAACCCCGTGAGCGCCTCCTCAACCCCGTGAGCGCCTCCTCAACCCCGTGAGTGCCTCCTCAACCCCGTGAGCGCCTCCTCAACCCCGTGAGTGCCTCCTCAACCCCGTGAGCGCCTCCTCAACCCCGTGAGTGCCTCCTCAACCCCGTGAGTGCCTCCTCAACCCCGTGAGTGCCTCCTCAACCCCGTGAGTGCCTCCTCAACCCCGTGAGTGCCTCCTCAACCCCGTGAGCGCCTCCTCAACCCCGTGAGTGCCTCCTCAACCCCGTGAGTGCCTCCTCAACCCCGTGAGTGCCTCCTCAACCCCGTGAGTGCCTCCTCAACCCCGTGAGTGCCTCCTCAACCCCGTGAGCGCCTCCTCAACCCCGTGAGTGCCTCCTCAACCCCGTGAGCGCCTCCTCAACCCCGTGAGTGCCTCCTCAACCCCGTGAGCGCCTCCTCAACCCCGTGAGTGCCTCCTCAACCCCGTGAGCGCCTCCTCAACCCCGTGAGTGCCTCCTCAACCCCGTGAGCGCCTCCTCAACCCCGTGAGTGCCTCCTCAACCCCGTGAGCGCCTCCTCAACCCCGTGAGTGCCTCCTCAACCCCGTGAGCGCCTCCTCAACCCCGTGAGTGCCTCCTCAACCCCGTGAGCGCCTCCTCAACCCCGTGAGTGCCTCCTCAACCCCGTGAGTGCCTCCTCAACCCCGTGAGTGCCTCCTCAACCCCGTGAGTGCCTCCTCAACCCCGTGAGTGCCTCCTCAACCCCGTGAGTGCCTCCTCAACCCCGTGAGCGCCTCCTCAACCCCGTGAGCGCCTCCTCAACCCCGTGAGTGCCTCCTCAACCCCGTGAGCGCCTCCTCAACCCCGTGAGCGCCTCCTCAACCCCGTGAGCGCCTCCTCAACCCCGTGAGCGCCTCCTCAACCCCGTGAGTGCCTCCTCAACCCCGTGAGCGCCTCCTCAACCCCGTGAGCGCCTCCTCAACCCCGTGAGCGCCTCCTCAACCCCGTGAGTGCCTCCTCAACCCCGTGAGCGCCTCCTCAACCCCGTGAGCGCCTCCTCAACCCCGTGAGCGCCTCCTCAACCCCGTGAGCGCCTCCTCAACCCCGTGAGCGCCTCCTCAACCCCGTGAGCGCCTCCTCAACCCCGTGAGCGCCTCCTCAACCCCGTGAGCGCCTCCTCAACCCCGTGAGCGCCTCCTCAACCCCGTGAGCGCCTCCTCAACCCCGTGAGCGCCTCCTCAACCCCGTGAGCGCCTCCTCAACCCCGTGAGCGCCTCCTCAACCCCGTGAGCGCCTCCTCAACCCCGTGAGTGCCTCCTCAACCCCGTGAGCGCCTCCTCAACCCCGTGAGTGCCTCCTCAACCCCGTGAGCGCCTCCTCAACCCCGTGAGCGCCTCCTCAACCCCGTGAGCGCCTCCTCAACCCCGTGAGCGCCTCCTCAACCCCGTGAGCGCCTCCTCAACCCCGTGAGCGCCTCCTCAACCCCGTGAGTGCCTCCTCAACCCCGTGAGCGCCTCCTCAACCCCGTGAGTGCCTCCTCAACCCCGTGAGCGCCTCCTCAACCCCGTGAGTGCCTCCTCAACCCCGTGAGTGCCTCCTCAACCCCGTGAGTGCCTCCTCAACCCCGTGAGTGCCTCCTCAACCCCGTGAGTGCCTCCTCAACCCCGTGAGCGCCTCCTCAACCCCGTGAGTGCCTCCTCAACCCCGTGAGTGCCTCCTCAACCCCGTGAGTGCCTCCTCAACCCCGTGAGTGCCTCCTCAACCCCGTGAGTGCCTCCTCAACCCCGTGAGCGCCTCCTCAACCCCGTGAGTGCCTCCTCAACCCCGTGAGCGCCTCCTCAACCCCGTGAGTGCCTCCTCAACCCCGTGAGCGCCTCCTCAACCCCGTGAGTGCCTCCTCAACCCCGTGAGCGCCTCCTCAACCCCGTGAGTGCCTCCTCAACCCCGTGAGCGCCTCCTCAACCCCGTGAGTGCCTCCTCAACCCCGTGAGCGCCTCCTCAACCCCGTGAGTGCCTCCTCAACCCCGTGAGCGCCTCCTCAACCCCGTGAGTGCCTCCTCAACCCCGTGAGCGCCTCCTCAACCCCGTGAGTGCCTCCTCAACCCCGTGAGTGCCTCCTCAACCCCGTGAGTGCCTCCTCAACCCCGTGAGTGCCTCCTCAACCCCGTGAGTGCCTCCTCAACCCCGTGAGTGCCTC